CAGCTCTATTTCCAGGCTCTTTTGCATAACTGATTACATTGAAGCACAAGTGAAACTGCCGATAGCTTGTCTCTGCAAACAGCCTTCCTCTCATTGGTTTGTTCAGCATCAGCTGATGTCACTTACATCAGGCTCGTGCTTGGAGGAAGTCTGTTTGGGCCACAAGCTATTTCACTCGTGCCTGGAGGCTAGCAATAGGAAGAAGCCTCTCTGCAGAAACAAAGTTTGGCAGTTTTGCAACCGCGATTCTCGGCTGACTTCCTTGAATAAGATGCCCTTCAGTTTTTAGGGTAAGGATTTTAGAAAACAGTATCGTCTTATAGTCGGAAAAATACGGTACTTCTCTAGGGTGGTGTGTGTGTGTGTGTGTGTTTGGTGATGTATGTATAACTTGCAGTCATTCACTCTAACCCAACTACCTTCTTCCACCTTAATTTTCAGATCCATATTCCTTGTATTATAAATTTTATGTAATATTCACAATGAATCATTCCAGTTCTCACGCAGCAACACAGCATTGTTTACATACAAAATTAGATATACATTTAGGAAATTAACCAATACAGAAGTGTGTTGGTTAATTTCCTAAATGTATATCTAATTTTGATGTAATTTTATATGTAATTTCACCAAAGCATCATGAATACATTAAACAATGGAGATATCACACATTTTTGTCATATTCCCTGTCTGTTGTTGAACCATTAGTTAAGCATGCCATTTAGTCTCATACATGTTTTACATCCATCAGATGTACTCTTACTGTGTACTTACTCAAAGTGTTCCATAAATCAAGCCTATTCACTTTATCATGCCCTTTCATTAAATTAAGAAGCATATAATAGACATTTCCTAGTCATACATGCCTTAATTGCCTTCTAAATAGGAGGAGGAAGGAGTATTAGGTATCTTCGCCACCTTGAATTATTTATAAAAATAATAAAGGCAGGATTAAAAATATCTTTTAAAAAATCTTTTAAAAAAAGATAGCAAAATTAATCTGCACTGCCCTTATCAAATTTTGCTCATCATTAACACTCCTATCTTTTCAGCCAGAATCCTGCCAAACATCATCCCAGATTTGCAAGCTATCTTTTTCTTTGAATAGGAAAACAATGTCATTCTTCCTATGTCAGGCACAAATGCAGTCTTTACACATGAGTTAGACAAGTGATACTGCCAATCAATAGGCAAACCACATCCATATTTTAAGATTTTTCCAGTAACTTCGTCTGTACCTGCAGACTTACCATTTTCAACATTCTCACAGCATTTTTTATTTCCTTTTTAGAATTTTTCCTTGGACCCTAATACTGTACTTACAGCATTCATTTCAATTCTACAATTTCATTATCAACCTCATACATATATCTATAGTACTCCTTCCAGTGATCCCTTACTTCAGTTTCATTCCAAAACATTTCATTGTTTTAATTCTATTCAGTCTCCTTGTTTAGCCCTTTGCACCCATTCCCAAAACCATTTTTATTTCCATCAAAATTGCTCAGCATTTTTTTTCCCCACAAGTGGAGTTAGGTTTGAAAAGGAAAAAGATCACAGTCTGCATGAATAGGATCCTGCTTTAAAAAACTGCTACCTGCCAGCCACAATATTGACATTACTATTGTAGGTTGACTGATATTATGGCTTTTTATAGTCATATTCCTATTTACCTAAATAAAATGAGTTTGTAAAAGACCTGCTGGTATTTCCACCATTGCCTCAGGAGCTAAGTAAAGGAGAAAAGATAGACATTCTCCTTACGTTATAACTAATCAGTTAAGGCAATCAACTGCTTAGCATTGATTTTGCAACCTCTTCTGCACTGATTTTTGTTACCGTAAATTCAGTATTCACGAAAAATAAGACCAAGCAGCTCATAGTTAAGTTCTGTAGTATCATAGCCTATTATTTCTGTTCAGATTGTGTTCTGTTGTCCTGCTATGCAGTGTTTCTTCAGCATTAAATTTTGAACCTTTAAAATCAAACATACATAATGTTTTTTTTAATTATACAGTGACTATCAGGTATAGTTTTGTTTTTCACTCTCTCTCCTGATCCACAACATCTCTTCTAGTGCCCGATGTTATTGATGGAAATACATTTACAGCAACAGTGGTAGGCTTAAACCCATGGGTTGAATATGAATTCCGAATAGTAGCTGCCAGCCTTATTGGAATTGGAGAGCCAAGCAAACCATCAGAGAAACGAAGAACTGAAGAGGCCCGTAAGTTGGATTAGAAAAAGAAACAATATTTTGATCAGTATTTGTTGATATTGAACAAAGCACTTGAGTAAAGCAGGTATTTGGCATAAATAGTTTCACAAGTAAGGGAGATATGAATTTAATGTAATACAATCACAAAATCTGTTTTCTAATTGGCTGTGTTTTCTTCTGTGAAAGAGACAACTGTTGATGGGCATCATCAGGCTCCCTCCTCATCTGATGTTTCAAAATTATTTTAGCTAAAAATGACAATAAATGATGGCATATTGCATAGTACTAATCTTCCCAAGATTAAGTGTACTTTGATGACAAAAGAAATTATTAAGGATGGCAGTGAGCTTACCTTCATTGGATGTGTTCAATTGGGGGCTGGAGAGCCATTAGTTAGGGCTCCTTGAATTTGGATTCCACATGAAACTGGGAGTTGGACTTGACAGCCCAAGTTGCCTTTCCCAATTGTATGATTTTGTGTATCAAACCGCTGGGTAAAAATGGATTTCCACGAAATCTGCCCTATAAATATGTCTTAGTACATACAGTGCTTAGTACATACAGATAATAATTTGATGATAATAGAACAAAGCAGAACAATTATTCTGGTTCCTTGTGGAACCATAATAAGTTCTTCAAATTAGATGTCAGTTGAGCATATATTTTACTAGATCCATATCAGATATGTGATAAAATTATCATAACTAGTATAGTCGCCTTTCAACCTTTTGTTTTTATTCTTGTCATATTTGATAAATTTTACGCACATTGTACTACTATTGTACAATGGAACAATATTGTTCCATTGGAGGAAAACAACAGACATATTCTGAAGTTATTAAATTAATACATTTTGTTTGTTGTATATTTAGAAACAAGAAAAAAGAAAAACATGGGTACAATATTATTTTAGAATTAATTCTAAAGAAATAGGAAATCATTGTAGATATTATAACTTTAATTTTTCCAATATCTGTGAGGGAAGCAGAAGACATGTAAATTATCCAGTTAATTAAACAACCTACTGTTGAATCAGCCTTATTATTCATATGTATGTTTATAATAAACTATATTTTCATGCAAAAATGAGACTTGCTATAGGAATAATTTTTAAAATGATTAGCCAAAGATAACTGGCCTCTGAATATATTATTGGTCATCTTGTTTTAAAAATTCTCCTGGGGGCCAGAATAAGAATTCCCACCTGAAGAAGTATAATGCATATCATGGGTTCCTGATTGCCCATCAACTGTAGTAGTTCTAATTTTCACCGTAATTGTATTTTTGTACCTTTTTGATGTATGCCACCCACAGTTGCATTGCCCAAAATGAGCAGCTGTATACATTTCTTAAAAAAATAAATGAAAATTATGTGACCTACAAATGTATAATACTGTTTCCCTTGATGAGCATTTTTATAAGTATTCTTAATACATTAGATTATGATTTAGACTATTAATGTATTACATTATGATTTATATTTCTGTTTTTTATTATTAAAAAAGTTCTTTCATTCTTTTTCCCCTCATTTTTGAATTGTTTCCAAAAGAAAAATTATCTCTTTTCTGTTAATAATTTTGACATTTAAAAATCACCAATAAAAATACTGAAATTCCCTTCTAAGTACACTTAATATGTACAGTTTTACAAATGATGCAAAGACTACAGATTATATCACATGACAGGCAGCAGAGATACCAGAGAGACGTGAATATTTCCAAAAGAAAAACAAATGTTCTGTAACAAAATAATTATTTAAAGAATACATTACAATATTGTTAATGGCTCATAGAATCCTCATGCTTTTGCTAAGAAAAGAAAACTCGTGTAAAAACTGGTTTGTAAACTTAGCAATACTCAAAAGTCCAAGATTCATTCTGTCTCTGATGTAACTCTTTAAAAAATTAAGATCTCCTTCACAGTTCCTTACCACCACCTGAGGTCATGACCCACAGTTTGAGAAAGCTGATTGAAGTCATTAGTGGCAAGGACACTGAGGACATTAGTGCCAAGGCAATTCTGCAGGAAAAGCACAATGAATAATATTGCATTGAAAAGCAAGCTTGTCTTAATTAAAAATATACAATATACAAAAAAATCTGAAAAATTTAGGAAAAGCAAATTTGGTTATGCAAATTGCCTTGAAATCTCAAACAGCTGTTTTTGTCCTAAGTCCTAACGTCTTTATATCTAAGATCAGATAGATCAAAGTGCTTGCATTTCAGCCTGGTCACTGCAATACAGTATTTGTCTTCCCTTTTGCAGTTCCTGAAGTCACTCCAGCCAATGTCAGTGGAGGTGGTGGCACCAAATCTGAATTGGTTATAACATGGGAGGTAAGTGATGTACGGATTCAGGAGGGAAATAATTTGTTTTCTTAATGCCCAGCTGACTATCTCTGGCTTGCAATGGTTACATCAGGGAGTAATATCCAAAGTTTTTTTTTTAATGATGTATTGTTCCTGTTTCTCATATTTATGTCTCCTAAATCCAAAGGGATTGTAGCATTAGAACCTGGCAAGTAAGACTGGGAATAAGCTAGGGAAGTTTTAGATTTTTATTTGTTCCCCTTTTTTAAGTCGTTAGATTGATCAGATCATTCTAACCCAGCGCTAACTCAGCTATTCTGAATGTGAGCCAATGTGGCATAATTGTTCAACTGATGGAATATCAATGTCACAAATCTCTGCTTGAGAGTTGGGCTGGTTATATATGCGCTCGTGTCGGATTAATAGCTTTCTATCACTCTCTCTTTCCTTCTCTTCGAACTATGATCAAGGAGGAAGACAGTTTTTGGATAATTATCCGCTGGGAGGGATAGCAAACCAGCTACAACCCTCCTTTCATTGTTGCTAAGGCCAACTTATTTTCCTCTTCTTTTCAGTAATGAAAATGTATTTAATGGGTTTGTCAGGAATGTTGTTTATGAAATTAATATAATGAAATGTGATGAAACTTAATAAACTTAGAAACTTTGCAAACAGGCCTCTTATCAAGTAAACTGCCTCAAAATCAGACTACTTGCTTGCTAGTAGTTTGCATCACACTTCAACACAAGTCTTGTTATGTTCACATCATCATTAAAGTAGTCATGCCCTTTGCTTCAAAATTTACACCTTATATTTCAATCGATAAAGTAGAAGCAACACACAAATGTGTGGAAAGAGGCATTGGTGAGAAACTGGAGAATCTGTGATCCAACAGTTTGGACAGTTTCAAAGGCATAGGCTTTGCTACTACTACATGTGAGCATGAAATAAATGTGCTTTAAGAGTTTTACTGAGAAAGAGGTGAAGAAAGGGAACATTACAGTATTGCTACCTTCCTTTCTCATGTAGAGGATTATAAAGAAGTTTTTTTATAATACCTTCAGTGCTACTTGTTCTTATTTATCCAGAGAATGTGAATACATAGAAACAAATGTGGCTACAACTTTGGTTGTTCAATTTCTGAACTAAAATCGTGAAATCCTTTTATATCTCTCTCATTCTCTCTCTCTCTCTCTCTCTCTCACACACACACACACAAATACCTTCATAAGTCAAAGTCTAGCTGGTCAGTTTGGACTTGAGATCCAAAAGAGTCAGGGTGGGAAGTCTACCATATTCTATATGATGGCTCTGAAGCACTTACAGGTCCAGCCTATTTTTATAACTTCTTACAGACTTGGCCAATCATAGGCAGATACTTTTCTCATGCCTCTCAGTATTTATTGATTAGTCAAATTTGTAAGGCTTCCCATTTTTCTGACAAAACTCTGGGTGGTGAACATACCACATACAACATTAACGATAATAAAACAAAACCACAAAAAAATCTGGGGCAAGGCCCTCTCATTAAAAACACAAAACACCTATGCCATACATCCATACCAGAGCTCCCAAACTAACAGCCTGGCCCCAATGCCTGGGGAAAGAGCCAGCTTTTCTTGACCTCCCAAAAGGCCAATAAGGTTGGAGCTGTCCATTCCTCAGGAAGATGGGGGAGTATATAGGGCAGGTGACGTGGCAGAGAAATCCCACTTCCTAGGACCCAACAGGTGACATTGATTGACTGGGGGGATGCGGAGCATGCCCAATTTGCCAGATCTGCTGGCTTGGGCAGAAACCACTGGGGAGAGGCAGCCCTGCAAGTAGGGCTGTTAGAGTGACAACCAGCACCTTGAATTGCACCCAGAACCCTACTGGGAGCCAATGCAGCTCACACAGCAGTGGTGTTATGTGGACACTTCATGGTGCACCCAGTGCTGAATGTGCCTCTACATTCTGGACCACCTATTTTTCCTTATTGCCTTATCCACTTGAGAACCACCTTTTCTTTTGCCAATTGTTGATTAGCATTCTTAGAAATTGTCATTCTGATATTTTTCCACGTTACGTAGCTGAAATCTATCACAGCAAATCCTTCCGCCTCTGTATACTGCCTTGAATAGGCCTCACATATGCCATTTTTCATACATGTCCATTCATGCCTTCACACAAATACAAGACACAAGGTACACAAAATATACAGTACAGTGGTACCTCGGTTCACGAACTTAATTCATTCCGCGACTCTGGTCGCAACCCGAATTGGTCGCGAACCGAATCAAATTTTCCCATAAGGTTCAGTGTAAATACGGTTAATCCGTTCTGACCCT